CATTACAGGAACAGGAAAGGGTGTGTGTGTGTGTGTGTGTGTGTGTGATGGGTTTTTTGTGTGTATGTGATGGGGTCTCACTTGGTTGCCCAGGCTGGAGTGCAGTGACATGATCATAGCTTTGAAGTCCTGGGCTCAAGTGTTCTTCTTGCCTCAGCCTCCCAAGTAGCTGGGACTATAGCTGTGTACCACCATGCCAAGCTAATTTTTTTTTTTTTGGTCGAGATGGGGTCTTGTTATGTTGCTCAGGCCAGGAACAGAATGTTTTTGAGAGAAGTTTTGTTCAGATTGGTTAGAAAACTTAGACATGTGAGCGAGTACACATGGGATGAGGAGGAGATGAGTGAGACATCTGGGTGCAAAATTTAAAGAGGCAAGCATTCTGAGATGTTCCATCTGCAGTTTCTGAAATTTTGCTTCCTTTGCCTCACAACGGCAGAAGACCAGAGGAGGAGAGAGAGGTAAATTTGAAATTATCATGCCATTTAAATGTTTCAAGCCTTATTTCTGATGTCTCAAATAGTGATGTTAATAGGTATCTCAGTGTTGTTGCTTTTTTTTTTTCTTTTTTTAAATGCGGTTTCACCATGATGGCCAGGCTGGTCTTGAACTCCTAACCTCAGGTGATCCACCCACCTCGGCCTCCCAAAGTGCTAGGATTACAGGAGTGAGCCACTGCGCCTGGCCTTAGTTATCTCAGTGTTTTAAGGTAGGATACAATAAAGTAATGCTTTTGTTTTTTGAAATAAATATTAACTGTTGTCACATGGTTGCACTTAGGTGGCAGTTTGTAAAAAGACAGCTGTGGAAGTTGAAGGGACCAGTGGCTTCAAGCAAAAAGTAAATTGAAAATGGGAGACATCTTTTTGTGTCAGGAAGCAGAATCACTGCAGAAGAATTTGAGAGAATCCAAACAGAGGGACAAGGATGATGAAGACCCAGAGCTGATCTTCGTTGGGATGGAGCATGCAGATAAACACGCCGAAATTCTCTTTGTTGGGGTGATTTCAAATTCAAAACCAGTCATTTCAAACATTTTGAACAGAGTCACCCCAGGCTCAAATTCAAGAAGAAAAAAAGGCCGTTTCTGTCAAGAACGTGCTCACATGTCACAGCCTGCCAATCATGTGACTTCTGTGGCAAAGGCCATGATGCCGGTTTCTCCATCTGAGGAAAGATCAACAGAGAGTCCTGTCACTATGGAGTCTTCATCTGAACCTGGTTGTGAAATGAGCTCACCACCACAAGTTGTCTCTCCCAATTCCTCAGATTCACTCCCACCAGGGACTCAGTGTCTAGTCGGAGCTGTGGTCTCTGGAGAAGGCAGAAATGAGAATTCTCCTGATTCAAAGCTACTTTCCACTTCAGATATAGACAGCAGAAATCCCAAAAGGGTTAAACTCAGGGATGGAATCCCAGGGGTACATTCTTTAGCTATAGTCCCTTCAGCTAACTCTCCTATTATAAGCACAGATGCACCCTCACAGGGGGTCTGCAACTCATCAAACCATGTTCAGAATGGAGTAACATTTCCTTGGGCTGCTCCTAACGAAAGGGCACATTTCAATCTTAGGAATCTTGAGAGGCCAAATGACTTTGATGGCCTGGTAATAACAGACGTTTCAGGTCTAGCAAGTCAAAAGAAGACCTTTGATCCCAAGAAAGAAAATCTGATCATGTTACTTAATGACTTTTACTATGGACAGCATAAAGGAGATGGGCAGCCGGAACAGAAGACTCTCACCACCTTTAAATGCCTCAGCTGCTTGAAAACTCTAAAAAATGTTAAGTTCATGAATCATGTGAAGCATCATTTGGAGTTTGAGAAGCAGAGGAACGACAGCTGGAAAAACCACACCACCTGCCAGCACTGCCACCGGAAGTTTCCCACTCACTTCCGGCTACAGTGTCACGTTGACAGTGTGCACGTCGCCCAGGGGCTCTCTGCTGTCTGTAAGATCTGTGAATTGTCATTCAAAACAGATCAGGTCCTCTTACAACACATGAAGGACCGTCATAAGCCTGGCGAAATGCCCTACGTGTGCCACGTTTGCCATTACAGATCGTCGTTCTTTGCTGATGTGGAAACACATTTCAGAACATGCCATGAAAACACAAAGAATTTGCTTTGTCCCTTTTGTCTCAAAATTTTCAAAACTGCAACACCATACATGAATCATTGTTGGAGGCATAGCACGAAGAGAGTCCGTCAGTGTTCCAAGTGCCGGCTGCAGTTTTTGACGTTGAAGGAGGAAACAGAGCACAAAACCAAGAACCATCACACATTTAAAAAGCCAGAGCAACTGCAAGGGTTGCCTCGTGAAACAAAAGTTATTATTCAAACCTCAGTTCAGCCAGGCTCAAGTGATGTGGCTTCCATTATTGTGAGCAATGTTACAGGTGACAACCCTCAGCTGTCACTTGTAAAAAAAAAAAAGATGACTATGAACACTAGAGAGTCCAGAATTCCTTGCAGCAACGATTCTAGCTGAAAATATGTTCTACTCACTTCCAGGAGTTCTCAAAGGCAGAAGTGAAGCTGGGACATGTGTGCATTGTGGCTATAGATGCTAACAAGCACTGTCATCAATGGTCAGGTTTTATTTACAGTGACATCTCATCAGTTCCCTATTATCAACAAGTAGCTGTGATGTCTTTGTGCCCTTTCCCAGTTAAATCCTCCCAACAAGATATCCCCTATTCTGACCATAGAGGTTTTACTTGTTTATGAACTTTAAATAAATGGAATCACACAAAGATTCTTGTCTTTGGTTTTTTAAAATAAGTGAGCTGGCTGGGTGTGGTGGCTTACACCTGTAATCCCAGGACTTTGGGAGGCTGAGGCAGGGGGATCACTTGAGGTCAGGAGTTTGAGACCAGGCTGGCCAACATGGTGAAACCCCTTCTCTACATAAAATAGAAAAATTAGCCAAGCATGGTGGCGCGCACCTGTAGTCCCAGGTACTCGGGAGGCTGAGGCAGGAGAATCACTTGAACCTGGGAGAGGGAGTTTGCAGTGAGCTGAGATCACGCACTCCAACCTCGGTGACAGCAAGACTCTGTCTCAAAATAAAATAAAATAAAAATTAGAATAAGCAAGATGAACTTTTGCCGTGCGTAGCAGTAGCACATTCTTTTTCATTGCTGGGTAGAATTTTGTTGAGTGACGATGGTAGATTTACATAAATCTATTTCACTGTTGATGGACTTTGAGGCTGATTCTTTGGCAATTTTGAATAAAGCTGCTATGAGCTTGTGCAGGTCTTTTGGTAAGCATGTAGTCACTTCTTGTGGGTATATATAGCTATGAGAAGTGCTGGAACTGCATATATTTAGCTTTCTAGTGTACATACTGCCAAATACATTTCTAAAGTGATTGAAACAATTTACATTCCCACCAGGATATTGAGAATTCCATTGCTACTGATCCAGCACTTGGTATTGTCAGTTCTTTTAGTAAGTGCCCTTCTCTTGAGGTTGTAGTGGTATCTCACTGTGGCTTTAATTTGCATTTCCCTGATGAGTAATGGATCTTGAGATTATATAGTTATTGGCTACTTGAGTATTTTTTTAAAATTAAATGTCTATTCAAGTTTTGCCCCCTCCTACCTTGTTAAAAACTGGGCTGTCGACTGGGAAGCATATGGGGAAAGTATTGGGGCACTGGGAATGTCCCATATTTGGATCTGGATGGTGGTTTTATGAGTGTATATTTGTACATTAAGGTTTGTCTTTCATGTGCCTTATTCGTGGAAGACAGTGTGGTGATTCCTCAAGGATCTAGAATTAGAAAATAGCTATAAAACTCATAGATTTCAAAAATAAATAACATATACTATTTAACTCTTGTGTTAGAAAGAATCACTAAGAAAATTAGGACATAACTAATTGAAGAATAACGAACATATTACCAAGCAGAACTGGTGGGACACAGTTAAATTGGCACTTAAAGGTAAATCTATAGCATTAAATACAAGAGAAATGAAAAGAGTTTACAAGCAAACGAGGTAGGCATTTATCTCTAAAAGTTATAAAGAGGAGTAACAGAGCAAACCAATGAATACAGGAAGAAAGGAAATAGAGTAGAAGAAATAAATGAAATGAAGAAAATAATATTATAGATTAATGAAACCAAAAGCGATGAACACTCCCCCCCCCCCCAAGAAAAAAGATTGCTAAAATAGACTTTTGGCAGAATGGGTTAATTTGAAAAAAAAAAAAATCAAAAGCTGCAAATAAATTGAGAGGAGGCAAACTTTCTGTAAAGGGCCAGACGGTAAATATTTTAAGCTTTCATACATGGTCTTTGGCAATTAATTAACTTTGCTGTTGTAGCGGGAAAAGAGGAAAACAATACCTAAAGGAATGGGTATGCTTGTTGTTCCAATCAAACTTTATTTACGGACATTAAATTTTGAATTTCATACAATTTCCACATGCCACAAAATAATATTCTCCTTTTTTTTTTTTTTGCCATTAAAACGTAAAATCTGTTCTTAAGCTTGCTGCCAGCTGTACAAAAACAGGTGGCAGGCTGGATTCGACTGGCTCCAGATGTCACTTGCAGAGGACAGATGTGAGGCTCAATTGTTTCGTCAAGATCCCTTAAGCACGGACAGTCAGCCAAGGGACCACACCTTAGGATTATAACAGCTGGACTACTGGTGGGCCCACTATGCCCTGACGGTGTGGAAGCCCATCTCCGGCGCCAAGCCCTGGCCGCCTCAGCTCTGGAGATCCTTCCAGCGCCTCAGGGGCATCGCCGCTGCCCTCCTCCCTCTGAACCTAACCCCGCGTCCTTCATTCGCCACCAGGGGCATTAGAGCGCGCGCATGCGCCCAGCTGGCCGCGCCGACCTCGCGCCCGCACCTGGCAGCCAATCGCAGGTCTCCACTGGACGCGCGTCTGTGGAGGCGCGCGCGTTGGCGGCGCCGGGGGCCTGAGGAGGCGTAGTCGCCGCCGGCTTTTTCCCGGGAGCGCCTCCGGGACCGGTGCGTGGCCGGCAGGCAGCTCAGGAACAGCAGCTGAGACCGGTAAGGACGGGGGCGTGGCGCGGCGTCGGCGTTCCCTGAGGGGGAAACTTGCGGGATTTCGGGCGAGTCGCGCAGCCCTGCGGGTCGCGACCCCGCGCCTGGCCGTGCGCTGCTGCCGGAGCGGCCTTTGCGGTGCCGCCGCTTCCTGTTGAGAGAGAGGGCAGAAGCGGGTCTCGGTGCCCTCACGCGCACCTCCTTCCCTAACCTCGGCCGGCGCTGCCTGCACCTCCGCCTCCCCTCCCGCACGCGGACGCCCCCGCCCCGGGTTGGGCCCAGGCCTCTGCAGAAGGGGCCTTTCCTGGCTCCCCGCGCGCTCCCCTCCCCCATCGCCCCCGCGAGGGCTCTTCGGGCGCTCCACATATTTAAAAATCTGAGACCTGCTTTGTAGCCCCAGGCCCTCCCTCGGTCTGGAGCTCCGCAGGCCCAGACCCCCTCAGGCGTTAAAATGTATCCGCCTCTCCCCCGCGGGCAGCGTCTTTTTGTCTCGTTTCCTGCGTGGCCCCTGACACGCTAATGGAGTCTCTCCTGTGAGAGCCAGGACTTGGGGTGATCCGGAGGCGTTTGAGACGCGCATTCGGCGGGCGGGATGTTGGAGGAGCAGTTACGGGGGAAGTTCAGTTCACTGTTCCGGTGAGGCGTGAGATGACTGATGAAAACCCCCAAATTGCAGTGTCAGGTAGGCGGTGGGATCTAAAACGCTCTCGACACGTAAGTAACGAATGCTTCTCTCTGGTTACCTCGAGGGTGTGACCTTCTCCTGCCTGGCACAGCTCAAGTTCTTAAAAGTTTGCGTTGTAGGCCGGGCGCGGTGGCTCACGCCTGTCATCCCAGCACTTTGGGAGGCCGAGGCGGGCAGATCACGAGGGCGAGAGATCGAGACCATCCTGGTCAACATGGTGAAACCCCGTCTCTACTAAAAATACAAAAAACTAGCTGGGCGTGGTGGCGCGTGCCTGTAATCCCAGCTACTCAGGAGGCTGAGGCAGGAGAATTGCCTGAACCCAGGAGGCGGAGGTTGCGGTGAGCCGAGATCGCGCCATTGCACTCCAGCCTGGGTAACAAGAGTGAAACTCCGTCTCAAAAAAAAAAAGTTGCGTTGTAAACCTGAGGTAAGAAGAGAGGGTGCCAAAGTTGTATCTTTTTTTTCCTTCAGTTTCGCTTTCTTGCCCTTTGCTGTGCTGAAACATGGCTGTTGAGCACTTTTTTTTTTTTTTTTTTTGAGACAGAGTCTTGTTCTGTCGCCAGGCGCCAGGCTGGAGTGCAATGGCGCGATCTCGGCTCACTGCAACCTCCGCCTCCTGGGTTCAAGCAGTTGTCCTGCCTCAGCCTCCCGAGTAGCTGGGACTACGGGCACGCGCCACCACGTCCAGCTGATTTTTAGTATTTTTAGTAGAGACGGGGTTTCACCATGTTGGTCAGGATGGTCTTTTATCTCTTGACCTCGTGATCCGCCCACCTCGGCCTCCCAAATGCTGGGATTACCGGCGTGAGCCACCGCACCCGGCTTTTTTTTTTTTTTTTTTTTTTTTTTTTTGAGCTGAAGTCTCACACTGTCGCCTGGGCTGGGGTGCAAAGGCGTGACCTTGGCTCACTGCATCCTCCACTTCCCGAGTTCACGCAATTCTTCTTCAGCCTCCTGACTAGCTGGGATTACAGGTGCACACCACCACACCCGGCTAATTTTTTGTATTTTTAGTAGAGATGGGGTTTCACTATGTTGACCAGACTGGTCTGGAATTCCTGACCTTGTGATCCGCCCGCCTTGGCCTCCCAAAGTGCTGGGATTACAGGCGTGAGCCACCGCGCCCGGCCCCCTGTTTAGTATTTAATATTTTACTGAAGGAATCTGAATGTGTATGATTAGTTCAGGCTAATTGTTGATGTAAGTAATTCGGGAAACCCTCTAAATTGCTCTCTTGAGAAAGGAGAGGAAGGTAGTGGCATTCTTTTGCCAGATCTCTTGAAAAAGAAAGTAACTGGCCAGGCGCAGTGGCTCAGGCCTGTAATCCCAGCACTTTTGGAGGCCGAGGCAGGCAGATCACGAGGTCAGAAGTTGGAGACCAGCCTGACCAACATGGTGAAACCCCATCTCTACTAAAAATACAAAAAAGCTGGCCAGGTGTGGTGGTGCATGCCTGTATTCCCAACTATTAAGGAGGCTGTGGCAGGAGAATCGCTAGAACCTGGGAGGCAGAGGTTGCAGTGAACCGAGATTGCATCACTGCACTCCAGCCTGGGCAACAGAGCAAAACTCCCTCTCAAAAAAAAGAAGAAAAAAGTAAGAGCATCATGGATGTTAAGTTTCATAAAGCCGACTTCTTTTATCATACCCTCTTTCTCAAGGGCTGTATTTCGTGAGGTAATTCCATGCAGCTGGACGTGGGGGAGGTCACCTAAAGTCATGATGCTAGTAGGTAAAGTTATAGGTGAATTCTATGCCCAGCAATTTGTGATTACAGCTCAGTGAGACCCATTGTATTAGTTACCAATTGCTGTGTAACAAATTGTCTCAAAACTTAGTAGCTTAAAATAAAAAAATGTTATGACCTTGTTTTTGAAGGTCTGGAATCCAAGAATGGCTTAGCTGGCTGGTTCTGGCTCAGGGTCTTTCATGAGGTTGTAGTTAAACTTTTGGCTGGATTGTCAGTCTCTGCAGAATTGACTTGGATTGGATCATCCGCCTCTAAGGTCACTCACTGGGCTGTTGGCAAGAGGCCTCAGATCCTCACTCTAGGTGTCTCCATGGGGCTGCTCATGTCACAGCAGCTGGCTTACTTCAGAGCAAATGATTTAAGAGATCTTGTACCCAAGATAAAGAAGGGCAGAGTCTTTCTGACTTAATTTTAGAAGTGGCATACCATCGTTTCCTGCTGTATGTGCTTGGTCCCTGGTCCCACAGGCCAACCTTGTTACAGTGTGGGAGAAGGCTACAACTGTGTGAATTCTAGGAAGTGGGATTCATTTAGGGCCATCTTGGAGAATGGCTACCACAGCCATTTATCTTCCATTTAACCCTTTTCCATATGATCTCAAAGCATTGTCTTGTTACTCTGGGTGAATAATTTGACTTCTTGGTAAGGCCAAAACCTCTACATGTGCACTTGTTTATTTAAGGATATTATTCTAGCAAGACTTCTCTTTGTCTAGGGTTAAGTTTTCTGTTTCTCCGGATCGTTAACATAGCAAACATACTGATTGTACTATCACCTCACCTCACACATCCCCAGTGTGCTTATTTTATTTTGTATTTGCTTGTCCTTACAGGAAAATTTCTCCAGACTTGTCCGTATTTGCTATTTCCTATTCTCATTTTTCCTTAAACCCACTGTTGTAAAGGTCACCAATGAATTCCACTTTGCTTAATCCATCGGTCAGTTTTAGTTGATTTTCTTCATTTTATTTGATCTATTGGCAGCATATATTAGAGTTGTTCCTTTTCTCCTCCCTGGGATGCTTCTCTTTCTTGATTCTCCTCTCACTTGAATGGCTTCGAATAATTGTTTCTTTTTAATTTTCTTTCTTTTTTCTTTTTCTTTTTTTTGAGACGGAGTTTTGCGCTTGTTACCCAGGCTGGAATGCAATGGCGCAATCTCGGCTCACGGCAACCTTCGCCTCCTGGGTTCAGGCCAATTCTCCTGCCTCAGCCTCCTCAGTAGCTGGGATTACAGGCACGTGCCACCATACCCAGCTAATTTTTTGTATTTTTAGTAGAGATGGGGTTTCACCATGTTGACCACAATGGTCTCGATCTCTCGACCTCGTGATCCACCCGCCTCAGCCTCCCAAAGTGCTGGGATTACAGGCTTGAGCCACCATGCCTGGCCGCTCTTTTTAATTTTCTTTACCAGCTCCTTCTCATCTCTGTGACCTCTAATCAATGGAATGCCCCAGGGTTTGGATCTCAGACCTCTTTCCTTGAGTGATCTCATCCAGTCTTGTGTTTTAAATAATGCTACATGCTGAAGACTTCAAAATTTAAGTACCTGCCCCAGAACTCTCCTTGAGCTCTGATCTCATAGATATACCTGCTCAGCATTACCTCTTACGTGTCCTCCTCTCCTTCACATTCCAAACCAATACATCAATGAACCTTGTGGGCCTTCTAGATGTTGATCTAGAATCTGACTTAGTATCTCCATTTTTCCACCCTGTTTGATACTACCATCATCTTTTGTTTGTAATATTTCAGTAGCTTCTTGTCTTCTGCTTCCACTGTTAACTCTCTTTTTTTTTTTTTTGGTCTTGAACTTCTGACCTCACATCATCTGCCCACCTCGGCCTCCCAAAGTTTTCTACTTTATTTTTCTCCCTAGTGTTTATATAACCATCTTACTTTTGTTAAAACAAAATATTTTCTGACTATCCCTTCTGGAATGTCAGCTCCCTGAAGTGAAGGACTTTGCATCACTGCTCTATCCCCAGACCAGCACTTGGGATTACAGGTGTGAGCCACTGCGCCCAGCCAAAGCTGAAGAATTTAGAATGGTTTACATGATGTTGGTTTTTCTTTGCCACAACCAGTTCATTTTTTATCTCATTTCTAACTTGTCACCCTTTTTATTGGGCCCACCATGCTAGCCTCTTTCTTGATCAGTCCTTACATGTGTTAATTGCTCCAATCTCAGAGCCTTTGTGTTTGCTGTTCCCTTTGCTGGAGTACTCTTCTCCAGATCGCGGTATTCAAGTTATATGAATGTCAACCTGCCTTCATTTCCTTCTTTACTTTTCTCCTTAGTGTTTACATAACCGTCTTACTTTTGTTTCAAAACATTATTTTCTGACTACCCCTTCTGGAATGTCAGCTCCCTGAAGTGAAGGACTTTGGATCACTGCTGTATCCCCAGACCACCACCTGGCACTTGGTTGGCCCACCAAACTTTTACTGAATGAATGGTCTTCTTAAATTTCTCTCAAATGCCACCTTGATGCCTCCTCGTCCCTTTTCTCTCTAGTCATGAGCTTATCAGAACTATGCAGATTTTTTATCATTCCTGTATAAC